TGCAGAAATTTGCTTTTAGTCTTCTTTTTTGTGTAAATGAGCAACAGGCGAGTGATTAAATCTTCTTTGGGGAATTTAAACGTATATTTTCAAGTATTTCAGATAAATGCTTTAATTAACTAAATAGCTTTTATCTGCATAATAAGCTTAGCTATGACGGTGCCCGGTCGCTTGATATATCATGTTATATGATAAGTTTGCCTCAAATATCTTTCGTTCCTCAAAACTCTTTGTATTGCAATCTAGAATTAGCATGGCTGCTGCTTCTGATATAATTATATTTTGTAGTAGATTAGCTAAAATCTAACAAAGAAATTGAAAATAAGGCAAATTTTCAATTCAATGGCATACTTAAATACAATTAAAAATTTTCGATTCGATTCGATTTTTCTTTGCATTTATATTTTTCCGTATTTTAATATTATACGTCAATTATTTTATGTAAGAATAAACTCGATTACAATTTTTTTTAGAAAAATTATTCTGAGAGTTACTACCTATTTAGTGAACGTATATATATTTATTTATTTATATTTTTTATATGCTACCTATTTTAGACATATGAGCGATGGGCTTTTGAAACCTGCACTCCATTGGGAATCAAGCGAAACTCAATACACTTATTGTTTCGATGTCCCGGTCCAGAAAGGAGCCAGGTTCGTCACCGCCGACTAACTTCCTTAGAAGATAAATCCGTTTCCCCTATAATCAGAATACCTCAAGAATCCGTGACTTTCCAACAATCAGCTCTATCCTCATCAGACTCCTTGGCCTTCTCAACTGAGGGTGATTTTTACAGTGACAATACCACAGTCACCAAAACCTTGGCCTTACAGGAACCTTCTGATGGGCTCGAACCCAGAATCCGGGTATCCATGCGTCGGACTCAGAATGGGCCGCTTAGCCAAAATGGAAGGGAGGGTGATGAGAAATCAACACAGAGAATACCACAGAAGTCAACCAGCCTGCTTCAGAAGAGTGGCATTGTAAAGAGTTTTAGAAATCTGAATATTGAGCTACCCGTATTGGATGACCAACAATGGACTTCTTTTCACACTGGATCCACACTGGTCGAAAATAAAGACAGAGGAGGTATCAGCTATAAAAACAGATTCACAGGATCTCATCAATCCACCTCACGGGGTCTCGTTCTAATGAAGATGCTGTCTCCACAAAAGCGTGCCTCCTTTGCAGATGCCATGAATCAACGAAATAGACGAGAAACGACCAGAAACAGACATGTAACTGATAGATTTACTCTGGTAGTTGAAGACTTTTCTTGGAGGACCGGAACGCCAGGCTTTCTGCAAAATAGACCCGTTTTTTTTATGGGTGAGCAACTTTATATTGGATCCCAGAGGGAATAGATTAGCAATGAAGTTAAACTTTTTTCCTCTTAATTTCGGTTTTTGTTACACCATTCCTAAGCCAGGCACTGTATCCTATTTTTAATACAAAAATAGAGTTTAGGTCTAAGTTTGAGGGCCTACTTGCAATAAAAGAAAGTGAAACTATTTTAATTTCGAGTTTAGTACCCTAATCATTTATAATTTTATTTATAAGAGCACCTAATTCTTTTGGATGATTTTACAATTCTAAAACCATTCCTGAAAGAATAACTCAAGATAGAACCATGTTACAATTTAAGTGAGAAGGTCAGAGTCTGCAAAGCTAGATAATATTGCTTAAACGCATCTACAAATACCAAATTATAAATAATTTACCGAAAGCGGGAGTAGCTAAAGTAAAATTGTGCAAGTAGGCCTATTTAGTTGAAGTAATTTT